CATCCTATTTTCTCTCCCTTTTAGCAATGTATCACCTTTCCACATCCACAGTTGAAAAAAAGTAAGGTGAAGAGTATCTTGGGGAGGGGGTAGTGCTAGTGGTTTTCGGATGCTTCGTTATTGCTTCTCTGGCTTTCTGCTTTTTCTACAGCGAATGTGTGTGTGCATCGTCCTGAGAGGTTGCTGGGGGGAGAGGAGGGGATGAGGAAGACAGTCAGGCAGAGAGAGCTGGCCTCCACAGCTGTCAGGTCCTGAGGGATAAAGGCCACCGATGACACATCGAGAAGGAGGGGAGGCCATGCAGGAAGAAAGGAAAGAAGGGAAGAGGCGAGCACAGTGGAGGTTTGAGCTGGAACTCCAAGAGCACCCATGCGGAGCTCGCAGCAGCTTCGGAAATGACTCTGTAAGAAGCGACAAAAGGCAGCCTGGGCATCGCAGAGCTGCCTGAGAGCGTAGGGTTGAAAATTATCTCACAAAATAAAACTTCCTTTTTAACCATCAGGTTTGCCCTCTGTTTCCAGGACATCTCTCCTCGTTGTACCTGACAAAGTCCTCATTTGTCCTGCTGCACTGAACCCTTTCTAGTGACGCTGGCTACTCTTAATATAGATCAGCAGAGCAGCTCGGCAAGGAATCGGTTTTGCTTTTGGTTTTGCAGTGAATGTTCCGATGTATGATGAGCAAGGATTGGGCTGGCTCTACTTTCCCAGGATTCTATTTTTAAAAAAGTACCTTTCCCTAAACATCACCTTAGTCTGGCGCACTCAGCACCGGAGCTGCATTGGGCTCATTTTATGTTTACCTTACTTTGAAATCCAGAGTTGTGTGCAGAACAGATGTAAAAGGCACAAACACTGTAAAGTAAGGTGGGAGGTCCTGAAGGGCAGAGAGCCTCCAGAGCCCCTTTGGTGGTTCAGGAAGCACATCCTGCCTGCACAAGGACTCGGAGTTCCGGTCTCAGATCCTCCTGTCCTGCACCCTGCACCCTGCACCCCAGTCTGACCTACTGTTCAGTCACAGCTTTTGCCGATTTTTTTTTTTTTTTTTTGCAGTAGTAAAAATCAAACCCAGGACCTTTGTGTTGAGCTACATCCCCAGCCTTTTGTTCAGTTTTATTTTGAGACAGGGTCTTATTATGTAGTTCAGCCTGGCCTTGAACTCATTATGCAGCCCAGGCTGGTTTCAAACTCATGGCAATCCTCCTGCCTCAGCCTTCTCAGTGCTGGGGTTACAGGCATGCTCTACCACACCCAGTTCTTGGTCTTTTTTTATTTGTGCCACTCTTAGGAAGGACTTGCTGGAACCATCCTCTGTCTGTCCTCTGTTGCCATCCACTCCCTCATCTCCATGGCAGACCCGACAGCCCCAGGCAGCACTGCCACACCTGCTCCACAGGATTTCAAGTCTTCTTCCAAACAGCAGTGTGGCTTTGCCTTAAGAAGCGGCCCAGCTGGTTGTTCTCCTGACTGCAGAGTGTGTGTGGGCTGCTCCTCCTGCCTGTGCCGCTAGCACAGCAGCTTTAGAAGCAAGTGAGAGGGTTCAGCGAGGACGCCAAGTCAGCAAAGAGCAGGCTCCTCACTGCACCTGTCTACACAGCATTTACTGAGAGCCTACTGTGTGCTCCCTGCTTTGAAAGCCTCTTGGTCCAGTTACAGATTCTCATACATATTCTTCAGTAATTCTGAAGATGCCACACTCTTCCTGGAGTACCGTGTTCTCAAACTGCACTAAGAGCACAATCATTTTTCCCTTTTTTTCAGACCTGGTTCCTATAGGTCATGGTCTTTTGGAAGTGGGGGCTTATAAATAACAAAACAGGAAGACATCTTTGGCTCATTCTTCCCAAGCAGCCACCTGCAAGATTAGGTTACCAACCCAGGGGCCTGCGTGGTGGGTTTTTTTAGAAGGAAATTAATTTGAAAGCAACATAGATACCGCGATAATCTCCATGGCTGATATGCTGAAAGATCTCTAAAGAGTTTGCTTACCTGTTGTTAATTTGTTTTCCAGAAGTAACTTGATAAGGATTTTGATCATGTAAAACGTTTTCTTGCCCTTTATTTATATCTACACAATGTTAGACAAGGGCTCTTGACTAGCAGTTCTGGAATGCGTTGAACAGGCAGGCACTGGGCGCTAATAGAAACATTTCTAAAAATGAGTTTTCAGTCTTTTTTTTTTTGAGATAGGGTCTCTCTATGTAGTTCAGTCTGGCCTTGATCTCACTAGATAGCCCAGGCTGGCCGAGAACTTGCAGCAGTCCTCCTGTCTCAGCCTCCTGAGTGCTGGGATTACAGATGTGCACCACCATACCCAATTTGGGTTTTCAGATTCTTACAAACAGTCATTTTTTGATTACAGGCATGGACTACCACATACATGCCCGTAATCCCAAAATAACTGTCCCTTTTCTCCATTTTACCTTTCAACCCTAAAATCAAATTTCAAAGTGGAGTAGATAAAATTTAGTGGAGTAGAATACATTTATTGTTTAACATCAAGCCTCAAAGACGAGTAGGGAATTAATTGATGGCTCAGCCTAATGGAACAAATAAAAATCATTATTTTGCCCAAGATCCATTTAGAAGAAATAAGTACTGCAGGACACGTAAATTGTTCCTCTAGAGGTTTAGAACAAGAAGTGGCAACTCATTTGGAAAATGAATCTTCACAGTGGCAATCAGCAGGCACTGAAAAATACGGGTCTCCTCTGAGTTGCATGCCCACCCTAGGTGTGGGTCCCTAACTGCCTTTGGACAAATAAGAGCAACAGCAGGAAGGGCCCCGGGCTGGCTGCACGGCGGCTCTCTCTATCCAGCTTTGAAAAGGCAATAGGCCGGCAGAATCTTAAAGAGGGGATTCCCGTCTCTGACGCTGCTCTTATAAACTTAACAGCTTTCAGGGAGGGTTAATCAGCAGGCTGACGAAGGGACTGGGAACTCCCATCCTGTCTGCCAAATGGACCACGGGGTTTCTAGTAGTCAGAGCCATGATAGCAAACCACGGTGCCCAGGCGGGCGCCTGCAGAGCCCACTCCGGGGACCAATTTCCAAAAGGCCCCATGGAAAGCCCCAAATCCTTAAAAAGGAATTTGAAGCTTCCTACCCACCCATGCATGCAGACTGCCTGGTGTTCAGCACCTTCAGCAGACACTGGGACAGGAGAGAACAACAGGTTCTGAGGCGGCTTTAAAACAAATTCTTAGGTAGAAAAGGTCCTCCAACCAAAGGTAACCCCTTCGGCAGTAAGCGACCAGGACAGCCTAATTCTATTTCCCTGGCCAAGACTGTAGGGTCACAGACTGTAAAAGTTCTTTGTTTTACAGAGGTAAAGCCACTTACCCTAGACCACTCAGGGAGGCAGGAGCCCTCTGAGGACTAGACTGTAAGTGCTCTGAAACCCACTTTGGTTGGTTTCTCACACAGCCTAGAAGTCTGTAATAAAGGGTACATCAGTGCCCAGCACTAATTCTTACTATTGAAATATACATGCTAACTAAAACTTCTAATAGCACAAACAAATTTATCAGCTAGGTTGCCTACAGGCAGCCAGTGCTCTACTGGCCCTGAGATGAGCTGAGAAATAGGAATTCTCAGCCGACAGTAGTGATACAATCCCATAACCTCAGCTTCTCAGGAGGCTGAGGCATGAGGACCACAAGTTCAAGTCCTACCTGCAATTCAGCACAATAGAAAGAATGACAAGGCCTAGTGATATAGCTCAGCGGTAGAGCATCCCTGGGTTCCAACCCCAGCCCTGAAAACAAAAACAAAACCTTGGCAGGGTCTCCCTTCCTTTTTGTGAGCAGACACAATGGGATATATACATGGGCGGGGAGGGGTGGGGAGTGAGTCATTTCCAACCATGCAAAGGAATTGGAGCCACATGTTTCTGACATGGGAACCCTCACCCCACAAATCAGGTGCAACAGGTTTCATGTCCTGACCCTGCACCTCTGAAAAAGTGAGTGACTTGGGGCAAGCATGAGAGTTTTCTGAGCCCTGGCTTCTTTATCTGAAAAAGTTGACATTGTCTACTGAACAGGATGTCCTGAAGGGAAATTTAAAGCTATCACTTGCACAGTGATAGCTTAGGTGCTCAATTAAAGCTAACCCAACACACACACTCCAACTTGCAGTAACCCGAAGGACTGTACCCTACAACAAAGGGGGGTTATAGATGGGACTTCAGCAACACAAGTGATACTTTTGGAATCAGTAATTCAACAAAGGCAAAGTACACAGGAGAGTCTACTCCACTCAATAAACTGTCCTGGGGCTCTCAGTGCCCAAGGAGAGGAGTGTTTCAAGCTGGGTAGAGGACAAGGGCAGCGAGAGAGGAGAGGCGAGGAAGGCCAGGGCCATACAGGCCAGAGGGGTCCCAGAGAAACACCAAGCAAACCACATTTACAATTTAAAATGACCTGACAGGCATACACAAATGAACATGCATCACTAACCTTATATAGTCTAGTTTATTTAGCCTGGTATATCAAAATATTAGTCCAACTTATACTCAGGATAAAGACTAGTAATATCTTTTGTTCTTTTTCGCTTCTCCAGAATCAATATGTATTCCCCCACCTCCACCCCTCGGCACATCCCACCACACTGGATGGCACTGTGTAGACAAATTCTTGTCAACACACTATGCCTCCGAGAACACAGGTCCTGGCTGCCAGGGACCTGTGGTCTAGCCTGAGATCTTGACCCAGAAGCCAGGTCAGGGTGTTAACCGACAACACTAAGCCCACAGCTCGGTCTTTGTGCTGTGAGCCTCAGGCCCTCCCAAGCACAGCATTTCTTCCTGCATCCACACAGGCAGGCCTCGGGTCGTGTGTCTGATTTGGAGACTGGGCCATGCAACACCCCAGGGAGATACCTTATACTTTAATCCCTTTGGACCCCCTGGTCCCCACGTTGTACTGGCTGAGGCGGAGCCCCAGACAGGTGGGAGAGACAGAAAGGGAAGCCTCAACACTGCACAGAAGAACGCTTTACCTGCCTCCTGGGCGAGGGTCAGCAGTGGCGGCAGGCAGCAGGAGAAGCCATCCGAGCTGCAGAGGCAGCCACTCACTGCCAGCAGCACCTGCCCGTGTCCCCCTCACCCCTCCCTCGAAAGCCTCTTCATTTCCTCCACCGCCTGGCTGTCTTCATGATCTGTGAGCATGAGCCTCAGCAAAACCAGAAATCGAGCTTTGCTGTAGATGCCTTAGCGCTGTTTGGAAACCCTTTCCTCTCGCTGGAGCCCCACCCTAAGCTTCTCTCTGAACTCTTCCTGCTGAGAAACTAATCCACACTGAGGGACCACCTTAGTGAGGACTATGTGGGCCACCTTCCCCAGGGACATGGACATTTTTAAAAGACTGAATAATAAAAGAGTAGCTAACATTTACTGAGTGCATACTAGTTGCCAGACACCTTGTTAAGAGGCTAATGGCTCACTCTAGAGAGTGACCAGACAAAGCTGGGATTTTAAGCAAGGTAGGACAGAGTTGTCTTCCTCTTACTTTGAAATACTCATGAAATATTCCCATGCAACCTGCCTACAGGGACAAGGCAGTGGGATCTGAAAAAGTTGCACTGAGTTTTCAGGAGGCTCTGAAGCAGAGGGTATGGTTTTCCTGCCTACCACCCCCGCAGCACTCCCCCCGACTCCCGGGCCCCGGGCTTCCTCTGGACTCCTTGCTCCTCCTTTCTCCTCCCTTCCTGGGGGCCTCAGAACACGCTGTCTGTGTGCACTGAAGCAGCTCCGGGACTTCAACCGCCGCTGTCTCCCAGGGTCTGTCTCCAGCCCTGGCAGCCTTAGCAGCACTGGTGAGTGCGAAAGTCAACCTGATCGCACGCCTCCTGGCATCTCGAACTTAACTGGCTCAGAGTCCTTGAGGCTCCGCTTCCCCGTCCTGAGCCCTGCGTTTAGTGAACACACTGCTTTCCACCCAGGGTCTCAGGACAAAGGTTTAGGGGTCACTCTTTTGTCACTGCACTTTTTAAAAGTAGTTCAGTGTGCGCAGCAATGAGAATAATGGCTCCCCAAGGATGTTCCCTTGTAATCCCAGAGTTTTATTTCTGTTACTTTACAGGGCGGAAGGGACTTTGCAGATGTAGTTAAATATTTGGAGATGGGAAGATTATCCTCAATTATCTGCACAGTTTTCTGCATAGTTTTGAAAGGGAAACAATCTTTCCCAGCTGGGGTCAGAGGGACACCTGGGAGAGACCGGGTGACTTTAAGATGGGGAAAGAGCCACCAGCCAAGGACTGTGGGCAGTTCCCAGAAGCTAGAAAAGGTAGGGAAACCCCCGGATCTCTTTATTTTTTTTCCAGTGAGAGCTATTTCAAACTGCAGCCTCTAGAAATGTAAGATAACAAATTCATAGTGTCTTAAACTACTGTGTTTGGGGTCACTGGTCACAGCCACAATACAAAACTGATAAATTAAGAGTCGCTTAATTCAAAATTTAAAAGATACAAAATAGTACATAACAAGCTTCCATCTCAACCTGCCCTCACTTATCCAGTTATCTCAGGAAGTGCCTGCTGCTACCAATTTCTTGGGATATCCTTCCAGAGATATTCTATGCATGCATAAGCCAATGGGAGTCATACATACTTTTCACCTTTTATTTTTTATAAAGGGTAGCATACTGTTCTGGGTTTTTTTGTTTTTTTGTTTTTGTTGTTGTTGTTTTGTCTTTTTGAAACAGGATCCCGCTATGCAGTTCAGACTGGCCTTGAGCTCACTTTGTAGCCCAGGCTGGCCTCAAACTCACAACGATCCTCTTGCCTCAGCCTCCCAAGTGCTGGGATTACAGGCTTGTGACACCATGCCCGGATCTATTCTATTTTTTTTAACCAACTACATACTCCAGAGGGGATTGGTTTTTTTTTGTTATGGCTCCTTGGCCTTCTGTTCACAGATACTATTATGGGATTGTCTCTTATTTTGGTCATATCTAAGCTTTCCAATCACAAACAATGCTATATGGACAAATGTCCTTGAACATGCTACAGTTTGCACCAGACTGTGACAGTGAGACAAGTTCCAGGAGTCTTCCTGATCCTTTCCTTCCTCTCCATCTCAGCCATGGGCATATCCTGTGGTTCTGCCTCCTGCCACTTTTCTACCCATCCACTATGCAGCTTCCATGCCACACCAGTATCTTCTCTTGCCGGGGCCATTGCAATGGTCATATCCACATGAGAGTGTGGTCAGGAAGGCCCTGAGATCTTAAGCTTGCATCTGCCCATTTGAGGAAGAATTATCTTGGGCCTTAGATTTCCTGTCTCTGCAAAAGATTCAATGAGACAAAACATGAGGATTTTTCTGTGAACTGTCAGTGGTATTTGGGGCTTCCTTTAGAAGCTTGCTGAGTCCTGTTAAACCTGCCGCAAGAGGTCAGGGATATAGCTCAGTGGCAAAGCACCTTGCTTGGCAAATGCAAGGTCCTGAGTTCGATTCCCAGTACCAAAAAAAAAAAAAACCAAAAAAAAAAAAAACCTGCCCAAAAGAAAGTCAGGTGAGTGCCTTGGTATCTTGAAATAGGTATACTCTTAATTCACCTTCCTTCTGTGGGTTTCCAGAGCAGTTAACAGACTAGAAACAAAACAAGAGAGCCAGGGGTATAGCTCAGCGCCTGCCTGGTAAGCAGGTCATGAGTTCAATTCCCTGTACAAATGAAAAATGAAACAACAACAAAAACCAACAAGAAGTTGAGGAGTGGAAACAAATTCACCTGGAAGGAGAGACTGAGTTTGAAATTCTACCTTTATTCTATCCATAGCCTAAGAACTTTCCCAAGGACTCTCAGGAGAAGCCTCAGTAACTTTCCAGAACAATTAAAATACACAGGAGAGTAATGACCTTCAGCACATATTTCAGTGTTAATACAAACAGGGACATATACATGAGTGTAGACAGCAGATGAGAGGTATGTTTACGATCACACATGGTATAGAACAGCTTCCTGAGCTTGAGCCTGGTTCCATCATTACCGGTTATGTGACTTTGCATAAATCCCTTCACGTGCCTGGTCCTGCTAACTTCAAGACACCTAGAGCAATGTGTGGTATGAGAAGGGTCAGAGCCAGGCACCTGCCCTGTCCACGTGACTCGGCCAGTGTACTGGTACTAAGGGCTCAGCTGGAATCAAGCCTCAGGCTGGACAGCATGGAATCCTCACATCATTCTACAAGGAAATCTTTCCTCCTCTTACATGGTGGAAGAATCAGAGGCTCCAAAACGCCCCTACTGTCACACAACCATCTGTTAAGTGGCAGAGCTAGAACTCAAGTGCTAATTTGTCTGCTTTTGAAGTCTGGGCTCAAGAGCAAGCACAAATGCTGGCTGTGGCAATATGTATCCTGCTGTCTGGCAAAACCAGCGCATGAACTGCTCTTCCTGCTTTACAAGCACAGTCATGTGCACGCACATGCATGTGCATATGTGTACATGCAGGGGCAAAATTGAGGTGAGGAACTTCCACACTGCTTGTGTCTTCTGCTGACTGTGCCGCAGCAGTTTCCAACCTAAAGTTCATTTTTCCAGGGTGGAACTGACAGGAGCTGTGGAACTGACTCAAAGGAATGAATTCTTGGCGTGGTGAGAGCCTGCATGAATGCTTATTGCCAGAGTCTCTCTTTTCGAAATACACAAATGGCATGAGTACATGAAATTTTAATTTTTTTCACAATTCCCTGAGGGTGTGGGGGCTAACAGAAGTGGTGGGGGGGAGTTTTGCACTTGTTAGCAATGCAATAACAATCCTTGCAGAGGCAAAATAGAACGTGCTTACAAAGGATAAGCAGTGAGAAGCTCCCCCTTCCGGCAGCACCACACCTCCACACCACACCTGCACGACGCTTCTCCTTTTTTGCAGCTTTTTAAAAAATAATTTTATTGGTACATCTTAGATGCACATAATGATCACATTCATCATAGGGAATTTGTACCTGTACATGACATATTTGATTCTTTTTTCCCCAATCCCCTTCCTTTTCTTCAACCCTTCTTCCCCTCCTTATTTATAAACTTGGTTTCCATTTTTTCCTTCTATTGCTTTTTTCTTTTCCCTTCCTTCGACACTTCTCTTTTTACAATAAGAATGCCCTGCAATGTTCTCTGTCTCTGTCATTCTGCCTCTGTCTCTCTGTCTCTGTCTCTCTCTGTCTCTGTCTCTCTGTCTCTGTCTCTGTCTTTGTCTCTGTCTCTCTCTGAAGAATATTTTAGCATTAAGACCCTAGAGATCACGCAATCCAGTACCATGCTCATACACATCAACTTTAAAGTCAGGAAACCCAGTTTTGTATCCTGGTTACAGTACCTTATGCAAGTTACTTAAACCCGCTGTGCCTTAACTACCTCATCTGTAAAGTGGCCTTTCAAATACCTACCTGATAGGATTGGTGTGAGAACTGAAGAAGCTAATGCTTGCAAACTCCTTCACTCAGAGCCTAGCACACAGTTTATGCCCCAAAATGTTCCTTGTTATTATATCCACCCAACCTCTTCAATTCATCGGCAAGGAAACTAGATTTAAAGAGATGTGTTCTATCTAGGGTCAGATGGCCAGTTACTGGCCAAGCCAAGACTGGATCCAGATGTCCCTTCCCAGGCCTTTTTCTGCTGAGCTACACACAGCATGGTGGATTTTCCTTCCTTCAGCAACTCTAACAAGAAAGAGATTGGAACATTTTCATACAGAGCTAGTGCTATGACCAGAGCTAGGGCCAAGAGCGCCCTGCAGTACGGATTCCTTGCTACCAGGAGCCAGCTTGCGTCACAGCACACACTGTCCTGAGCTATCACCCCATCAACCCACCTCTGAGCATTCTGTCTTCAACATTACCAAGGCCTGATATATCTGGTTTCCACAGGGCACTGAACAATTGTCCTCTTATCTTAATTCACCTTCTGTAAGCTGAAGCAGAGAGAAGTTGATTACATAGTGTCACCACCAACAGCTTTCAAATGCTGGCCTCCTACCCACCTTCCTGAGGGCCTCTCTCCCCAGAGCCCTTCTACCAGCACTGACGTTCTAGGTCTTTGCCTATACTGTTCCCTACATTCACCCTGAACTATCTTCCCTCGGCCTTTTCTCGAAGGCCACACCCGCACCATCACACACAAGCCCAGAGGCTTTTGGTCTCCAGAGAGTGGTCGCATTCTCCACAGCAATTTCAGCTGCAGCCTGGGAGGGCCCAAGAAGCAGCAGCCAGGGCAGGTGTGGGCCCTGTGTTCCCAGACAGGACACAATCCATTATTAGTTCTCACAAATGTCCCCGGGGACCCACTTCTAACCCTTGGCAGACCTTCCAAAATCCAGCCAAGCCCTGGACTTCCTAGAAGACAGGTCAGGCTGTGTCTAGTCCATCAAGCCAGGCAGCCCCAGTTGCTTGGCCAGTCAGCTTTTCCAAGCCTGGACCAGTCCAATCCTTGACTTTTGGTGATCCCAGGTCAGAGGGAAGTGGGGAGAGGTCTGGGGGATGGGGAAGGAGGGAGAGCTCTGACCCGCTCACTTCAGCAGCTCGGAGACAAGGATGCTAAAATTCTGTGGCAGAAAGATCCAGGGCTAGGAGTTAGGAGGCCTGGGACCTCATCCTCACCCGGCCATAAGTGAACCACATGCTCTGGGACCTGTCACTCTGCCTCTCTGTGCCTCAGTTTCCTCATCTGCTGTGTAGATTTGCTTGAGGGTCTCCAAGAAGTCTTCTAGCTCAAGGTTTTTCTAGTGATGACCTTCAGTCTCTGCAGCACACTGGAGCTTGTTGAGCACTTTCAGACACCTTATTTTGTGTATTCAATCTTCCTAAACACCTGCTGGTGTAGGCCAGGTAATTGGCAGATGACAAGACTAACTGCTGTGAGGCAATCATGGCAGAGCTTAGTGCCAAAACAAATGCTCTCAGCAAGCCCCTCCCAGCTTCCCCTTGCCCTTCTGGGGTACACAGACCTGTGTCCCCAGTGAAAGGTCAGAGAGACGGGCTCCTGGGAAAGGAACAAATGCTAAAAAGGCTTTGCTGCCTTGGAGTCAGGGGTCAAAGTTCTGGGTGTTTCTCCTCATTATGGAAGTCTACTACCATTTCTGAACCCAAAGGAAAGTTTGATTTAGGTCCACATTCTAAACTTGCTGTTCTCTGGCCTTTAGAGGAGAAAAGCAGAGGCCGAAGCAGTTAAGAATCATCAGAACACCAGCTGGCTAGGGCAGAGCTAAACCTAGACCCTGATCCCCTAATTCCTCTTTCAGGCCTGGTGCCCCTTGAAAGCATGGGCACGTGTGACAGTGGTGGTGGCCTATGCTGCTATGGCTCAGAAAGGCTGGTCAACTTGAGTCAAGGTAAGGAAAGAGTTTTCCTGATGGTGAGATAACTTAATCCCAAGCCCTTCATCCCAACCCCGTCCTTGGCCCCACTTGCCAGTTGAAGATCCTGTTGTGCTCAGGCACTATTTATGGGCTGCACTGTGTTTCCCAAAATGAGTATGTTAAAGTCCTAACCTCCAGCACCTCAAAATATGACCCTTTCCAGAGTCAGGGTCTTTGAAAAGGTATTAAGGTTAAATGAGGTCTTCAGGAGTGTTAGCCTAGTGTGACGTGTCCCTATAAAGGTGGGGGATGAAGATGCAGTCACACACAGGAAGATCAGAGAAAGACACGGACAGCCTCAGAAACAACCAGTACTGGCCGCACCTTCATCCGGGACTTCCAGCCTTCCAGATCATGAGAAAACAAATGTTGTTCAAGCCATGCAACCTGTGGTGCCTCATCCCACAGCCCTGAAAAACCAGCACAGGGGCTGACAGCAGCCCATGTGCCCTCGCTGACCCTCAGTGTATGCTGGAGGAGCTAAGCCAAAACTTTTTGGGTCCAGAAATGCTTAGTAGATTCCTAGAATGATGAGAAACCCCCAGACTTTTGACCTCTCTGTGTCCCCCACACAGCCCAGCCCCAGATTCATCAAGTCCTTGGAATGGGGAAGCCGTTCCCACAAATCCATGGCCGATCTCCCCATGTCAGGGCTTTTGGGCATTGCTAGCGTCTGCTTATCCTCAGCGATGGAAAGATAAGCTGCCTTTGGGGCATCTGAGGGGATGAGGAGAGAACAAAAAATACAGACAAAATAGCCCGATTCGTATATCTTGAGTGACAATCCTGCCACACATATGACTATTTGATTTCTACTCAGCTGGAGTCTTCAGTTCTGCCACTCAGGGCACCAGTTCCACAGTGGCCTCCTAGTGTCCCGGGACACGTTGCTGTCACAGCCAATTAACAGAGTCTAGGGTGCTGGAGACCCTGGGAGAAGCTGAGCCTGGGATTGTATGGACTCCCAAGTTCCACCGCAGATCAGCACCCCCATTGCAGCAGAGGAGGGTGCAGGGTGGGGAAGGAATGGCTTGTTACACACGCTGCTTGCTCTGGGCAAGACTATTAACTCCAGCCTTATCATTGGGTCCTCAGACTGGGCAGGGCAGGGCAGATCTGAGCACCGGAAGAGTTGGTTCCCCTGCACTGTGTGAAAGGAGAAAAGAGGAGGAAGACAGACCTCAGCAGAGTGAGAGAAGCTGCTGTTCGGACCACAATGAAAACATTCCTGCTTCTTCTGCTGGTGCTCCTGGAGCTGGGAGAGGCCCCAGGAGCCCTTCACAGGTGAGGCAGTGTCCCCAGCCCTGAGCTCAACTGGGGGACACCACCCCCCAATGCGGGGCTGCTTGAGGGAAAAAGCTGATGGGGAAAGAGGACAGAAGAAAAGAAAGTGAGGGCTTGCATGATCCCTGGAAAGGTTTTCCAGTGGTCACTGTGTACTTGGCCTTGACCTCCATTCCCTGGCAAGTCAACCCCTGGCTCCACCTGTAGTGGAGGCCTTGCCCCAGCCCCAGGTCACTGCTCAGCTTGCAAAAGAGCAAGAGCCTGCAACTGTGGTTTGTAGCTCAAAAGGTTCACATAACTTCTTCTCAAATGTAACTGAGCTTCACTGAGCTTTTTTTGTCCCTTTAAATCAGCCCTTCAAAGGGTTCAGGTAAAACTGCAGATAATTGGATCTTATACCTATACCTTACAAGACCTCACAGAGTCCATAGCCAGGAGGACAGACATGTCCCATGCCAAGATTCCAAGAGTCTGGAGGGCAGAGGATGGCAGGCTGGGGGCCAAGAGGGACCCTGCAGGTTGTTCTCTGGTTAGCTCAGAGTAAATGCAGTGGAAAGGGTTGGGGGAGAAGAGGGAGGCTGGGCTTCACCCCTCCTCACACAGGGCTTTGTCTACAGGGTGCTCCTCAGCAGGCGTGAGTCCCTCCGGAAGAAGCTGCGGGCCCAGGGCCAGCTCACTGAGCTCTGGAAATCCCAGAACTTGGACTTGGACCAGTGCTCCACCATCCAGAGTGCCAATGAGCCCCTCATCAACTACCTGGATGTGAGGCCTCCCGGGCTGTAGGGATGGGGAAAGGCAGGAAAGGGAGAAAGGCTTAGCCTTAGCTATATCAGTGTCAGTACTGAAGACTCTCACAGATTCTGCTGCTTGGGTATTTCACATGGTCTGATCACCCGGGCCCCAGTGCACAGAGCTTTCTGCAGGAGGAAAGGGCTGAAGGTGATGAGCACTTCAAAAGGAAAGAGCCTGATTCTGTTCTCAGACGGGCAGCTCCTAGTTCTGACATTAGGCAAAGAACTTGGCTTTTCCCAGCCCCCATCTCCTGATCCGTAAAATGGATCTGCTTCCCTTGCCTTGCCCATGATGTTATCAGGAAAGTCAGGATAAGGCGAGTAAAATTAAATCCAGTCACTCTGGGGCTTGACTTGAGCTCTTCTCGCATGACCTCTCTCAGGTCCTTCTATGTTTTCCTTCCTAAGCTCTGTAAGCTCTAGTCCCCAGACCCCAGGCTCTGGCCCTAGACATCAACCTTGGACCCCTACTGAACACCGTCCCCTCCTCACCACCCACACCCACGTCCCTTCTCCCTTCCCTGCAGATGGAATACTTTGGCACTATCTCCATCGGCTCCCCACCACAAAACTTCACTGTCATCTTCGACACTGGCTCCTCCAACCTCTGGGTTCCCTCCGTCTACTGCACCAGCCCAGCCTGCAGTAAGTAGGGCCAGGAGACCCAGTGGCAAATAAATGATGGGTTCTGCACTGGGAGGTCAGGGCTGGCACTCTGAGGGTGGGGGACTTAGTTTCCCGAAACTGGCCCTCCCGTGTTGCCCTCCCCATCTCTGGATCTGCCCAGAGCTGCTTACAATCCAAATAGGGCTAGGCCAGGAAGAGAGATAAAACTTGGCTGCTGTACAAGGCAAGAGCTTTCATACTGGTCAGGATTAATAAGGACAAAACTAGCCACTGCAAAGAGAAATCTTTAAGTTGATGACTCACTTCCTTTGGTACAGCCAAAGGAATATGGGAGAAAGTTCCATTTGATTGAGTCTTTCTGGGCAGGCAGGTGGGTACGATCCAGCACTAGCAGTTCACCTCCTTCAAGGAGGCTTGGTGGCCTTTCTCCCACAGAGCTAGGGCTTGTGGGGCACTATGGCATGAATGTGTCCATCTGGAAGTAATTCAGAGGTTTCAGTGAAGATTGGAAAAAGAAAAAGAGAAAGATGTCTTGTTCTATGAAAGACAAGTCCCAGAGACAGAAGGTCTCTGGCAGTCCTGAAGCTAGGTGTTCTCAAGGTTGGGCAGACTTGGGAGCAATTTCCTGGAGTGGTAATTGTTTACCCCTCAGTTTCTTTGAAGGCAAGCTCTGACCTATACTGACGTCTTGGACTGCTTCTGGCGCCTGATAAATGGTGCTTATCTTGGTGTGCCTCATGAGGTCATTGCAGGCAATCAGGTTTGCCCAGGAACAACTATTTGGTCTCAGGCAGCCACACCTGTGGCTTGGGGGGTCTGTGGCACCTCACTGGAGAGCGCCATTGCCAGCCTTTCCAGGGGTCCCTGTTCAGTGTCTGGAGCTGGAGGAAGAGGCCCTGCATCTCTGGGGCAGGGATGAGGACAGTGAACTGCAACTTTGCTTTCCAGAGACGCACCCCGTGTTCCACCCTTCCCAATCCAGCACCTACAGTGAGGTGGGGAATCCTTTCTCCATTCAGTATGGGACCGGGAGCTTGACTGGGATCATTGGAGCCGACCAAGTCTCTGTGAGTGCGATCCTTTCGTCTTTTCTCTTTCGCCCCGGAGCTCATGGGGAAAGAACATTGAAGGTCTTAGAGGGCACTGACAGATCTGCCTCAGGAAGAGGTAGGAAGCAGAGGTAGGGATAGACTGTAGGAAAAAGGAAAGCAGCCACAACCCCTTCCCAGACAGTGGCAGGGGGCCTGTCTGCTCAGGGCACCTGGCCCTCCAGGGCTGGCTCAGGGGTCTCCCCCAGGAAGCACTGTCCTGTGCACAATGCCTGTGGTAAGGGATCACCAGTCTTCAGGCACACAAGGAGGCAAGACCTGGAAAGATAAAGAAGTTCAAAACATAGGGCAGCAGGTGGCAGGACTCAGTGAAAGAAGGGGACAGTTAGGACACAGGAGCCCCACCACAGCAACAAGGCAGAATGCAGATGTCAAAATAAAACCCCAGGGTCTTGTGAGCTGCTTCTTAAACTCTCCTTGACCAAAGGGCTGAGGGGTCCTGGGTCTCTAGAAATCAGACAGGAGTAAAAACAGCACCAAGAGAGTCCTGGTCCTCCTGGGGACTTCATACAGGTGTATGGGCTGCAACGCATGCCTAGGCCTTGGGGAAAAGAAAGTGGATCCGCTCCCTGAGGGTTCTGGAGCTGTGCAGAGTTGGCAGGGCCCAGCCTCCATCAACATCCTTCCAAAGTGGGTGAGGGTAGGAAGCATTATTAGGTGAAAAAATGCCAAAGCAGAAAAAAACTTTGTATGTAAAAAATCATACATAGAAAACATACAGATAAAATAATACACTACTGGAACCCTGTGTATGTGTATAAAAATACATTATACATGTATATGTAAAAGTACACATAACTCTTCAGAAGGCTGCGCTCTAAGCTGATAACTGTAATGACTTCTGAAAAGCAGGGAAGGGACTGAAATTGGCATGGGAAGGGGAACCCTAACCTACACTGTGCCGCTCCTCTGCCAGACACCCAGTTGGTACAGGATGGCAGCCACACCCTCAGCAGTTCCAGCTTCCAATACTTTCTCCTTCAGCTTTTCTGGCTCAAGGGCCATATATGCATGCACCTCTGTAGCAAACAGGCTCAGCTTCTGCTGCAGGACACCCCACACCATTGAGGTTGGAGGCCATTAGAGAACAATAGATGTCTGCATCCACCCTCCCAGGTTCCAACCCATGCTTCTCAGACCTGATATCTGTCTTCTCCTTTTGCTGCTAGAACTGTAGACCTCACACTGCAGCTACAGGTCTGAAGCTACATTCTGCAATACAGTGTGTAAGCTACACTGCAATTGCAGGTAGTCAGTTATCTAAAATACAAGCTCATATACATAAGACTTGCCAAAATTTGTGGATGCAGCCAATGCTGTCCTAAGGGGATAATTAAAAACTGAAATGCCGATGGTAGAAAAATCAATGGTTTAAGCCTCTATTTCCAACAACAAATAAACAATAAAAAAATCACTAACCAAAAACCCCAAACCAAACCCCCAAAAAGTAAAAGGAGAGGTGTAATAAAGAGAAGAAAAACATCAATAAACTAGGAAAGTCATACTACATAGTAAACCAATAAAACCCAAAATTAACTCATTGCAAAGAATAATAGAACTAATAAATCTCTAGTATGACTAATTAAGAAAAATGAAAGAAAATACAATTTAGCAATCTTAACAATGAAAAGAGGATATTACTTACAGACATTAAAATAAAAGGAGCTGGGGATGTAGCTCAGGGGCACAGTGCCTGACTGGCAAGCACAAGGCCCTGAGTTTGATTCCTGGCATGAAATTAATTAATTAACTAGAAGTATATCGAGAATAGTTTATATTGATAAATTTTACAATTAAAAGAATAGGGAACTATCTTGAGAAATGGTGTTCATGCAAAACTGACACAAGAAAAAATAGATGATACAAATAGTCCCATATCTACTCTAACTATTAACTGTTATTTTATATATTTCTGCAAAGAAAACCCCAGACCCAGGGCACCTCACTGGTAAATTCTTCTAAACATTTAGAAAAGAAATAACATCAGTCTTATAATACTCTTCCAGAAAATCAGTAAATAAGGAACACTTCATAACTCACTTATGAAACATAACTTTAATAATAAAACTTGAAAGGGGTATTATAAGAATTAGGCAATCTCTTTCTTATGAATGTAGATACCAAAGTTCTAAACAAAATATTTACTAGCAAATAAAATCTCATAATACATCTCAACTCAAAGTCATTTCTTCCTAAGGATTTATCACCTAAGAGAATAAAAATAGAAAAGTCATGATAATCTCCACTGATAAAATACAACATCTATTCATGACTTTAAAGGAATTATTAACTTCAAATAAAAAGTAACTTCCTTAAGCTGATAAAATAAAACCTACAAAAAAGCCCACAACAAACTTTGTATTTAATGGTGAATTGCTAAGAGACTTTTCTCTGAGGTCAAGGCTGAGACAAGAATGCTCTTATTATTTTTATTCAGTATTGTGTTTAGGATCCCACCCAGGGCAATAAGGCAGCATTCAACAAGCACTATGTTAAGTGACAGAAGCTGGATATCAGCATCACACTGGATGACTCAACTTATATAAGATTAAAAGCAGGCAGAACCAAATACATGCAGTTCGAAGTCAGGAGGGTGGTTCTCCTGGGGAGGGAAGCAATGATTGACTAACAGTGCGCAAAAGGGTTCTGGGGTTGGGTATGTCTTGTTTCTTGGTTTTGGAACTAGGTTACCTGAGTGCATAAAGTGTGTGAAAAAGTATTGAACCATACACTTACAATTTCTGTATTGTGTTTAGTTCATTTAAATTTAGATAAAGAAATGAAGAGGTTGGGGATTTGGCAACAATCTTTGTGCCCATTTAATCAGGAAAAGTTGAGGGAAGAAGAATTAGCTTCAGGACAAAAGGAGAACCCAGGAATCTGCGACCCTCTGCCAGTCCCCCTGTCCAATTCTCCTGTGGGCCTTTTCCCTCAGGTGGAAGGACTCACTGTGGTTGGCCAGCAGTTCGGAGAAAGTGTCAGAGAGCCGGGCAACACCTTTGTGCATGCGGAGTTTGATGGAATTCTGGGCCTGGGATACCCCTCCTTGGCTGCTGGAGGCGTGACCCCGGTGTTTGACAACATGATGGCCCAGAACCTGGTGGCTCTGCCAATGTTTTCTGTCTACATGAGCAGGTAAGTCCTGCGGAGCCCACCAGGTCAGGCTGGGGAAGACTGCAGGGAGATGAGGTAGGACAGAGGTCTAGCCATCAAAGATGTGGCTTGGATCTCTTGCTTGGCCTGTTACCAACTGTATGATCCTGGGCACTCAAACGCTCTGGATGTTGAGGGCATGGTATCTGCCTCATAAAGTAGTTGTGATAAACATTTTGTAAACTCTACCACAGTGGGTTGAATTTCTTGATCTCTGGAATTGGCTAATGATTCATGCAATTAATATCAAGCTTTTATTATATGCTGAACACAATGCTAGATACTGGGACACAATGAAACAGGAATAGTTTACACAACTGGGGAAGGAAGGAAAAATTATAAGGCAAGCTGAGAAATAAAATAATTACATACTAACAGATGGATAAACAAAATGTGGTACATCCTTACAATGGAATATTATTAAGTCTTGAAAAGGAAAGAAATTCTGATACATGCTAGAACATGGATTAAATGTGAGGGCATTATGTTAAGTGAAATAACCTAGTCATAGAAAGACAGATATTATACGATTGTACTTTTACAAGGTACCTCAAGTAATGAAATAAAGGCAGCAAGTACAGTGGTGGTCACCGGGACCAGTGGAAGAGGGAGAAAGGGTTCTGGTTTTATGAGTATATAAAGTCTCAGTTCTGAAAAAGACAAAGGTTCTGGAGACTGGCTTTCTAACAGTGTGAATGTTCTTAGTACTTCTGAGCTATACACTCAAAAATAGTTGGCAGTAATTTCTATATTATGTATATATTGCCACAAACTGCAAAAATGGTTACACATAGCAGTTGAAAAGATCTTAAGAAAGATTAGGTACTATCAACCTGCTTCTAGGTACCCTTGCCTGGGATCCATGGCAGGTCAGCTCATCTTCCTCCCTGTCCTGGAAGGAAATCTGGTATCTCTCAGACTCTTTCCCAGGCAGGCCCGGCTTGAGTTCACCTCTGATGGGACAAGCCCCTTTGCCCTGTCCAGCTCCCACAGGAAGATCCTGAATTTCCTCTCTTGAGCTGTGCCCTGTCTCCCACAGGGCTGTGGCTGAGACCAAGCCTGGGCAGCGCTGGAGGTGCTGTTGGGAAGCCTTTTGGGAAGTTCAAGCCATGGTGGGCAATAGCAAATATTTTGCAATCAGCCTGGCCCCAACTTAAGTCCTATGATTTATTTGGCTTCACCTCTCTGAGCCTCAGTTTCCTCATATGGACCTGAGCTTGAGGTGAGAGTTAAGCAGATGACACAGGCAAAATTCTTACCACAATGTCTTGTCCAAAGGCTATCGACTAATGTTAGTTCCTTCCCCTTTTCCGTCTCTAGAACCTAAAATTCCTACAGATACTCATTTTACCTCTCTGTTACCATCCTGCCCAGGACTGCACTGAGTTTTATACTTCTCTGACCCTTTTCCTTGAGAAAATGAATTTCTTTCATGTCCTATTTTCCCAGAATAGTGCTAGGTACCAGAACACAGGAAATCAGCACCAATAAAAATCAGTCACTATTCAAGCTCCAGTAAGTCATGTTGCATTCAAAGTAGCTTCTTTGTCTTGACACAAAGGATTGAATAACACAGAAACTCCAACACCACCCCCACCATACAGGGACTGATACTCGAGGGAAATGTGTCTTTCAGGGGTGCCTCAAGGGTACACTCAGCATGGTCCTGACCTCAACTCCACTCAGCTTCTTTGTGTCCAGACCCAGAGCCCCTATTTCCCACCTCCATAACTTTTCCACCCAAGAAGCAAAAGGAGGTTCACAAGTCACTGAACAGAACTCTAAGAGGCACACACTGCCTGCAGTGGAAAGGCCACTGGGCTGGCTCCAACTTCCAGTTCTGCCCTGAAGCAGCAGCAAACTTCAGACAAGTGGTATAAGGAAATTTTCACAGTACCAGGTGGGGTGTATCAATGGGCAGTTTTAATCCCCTCACCCACCAAGTCCAACTGGAGATGTTGTCCTTGGGCCAAAAAGGTCCAAACTAACCAACATGCAGTGGTTGGAAGTCCTGGTGGGCAAGACCAGGCTGATATTTCTGCCTTACATACCTGGCATGAGTGGCCGGAACGTGGAGCAAGGGATCCTAGCTAAGGCTACCCTAGGCCTTTCCAGGGGCCACTCCTTTACAACATGCCTTTCCATGCAGTAACCCAGATGGCCCAGGTGGCGAGCTGACCTTTGGAGGCTACGACCCCTCCCATTTCTCGGGGAACCTGAACTGGGTCCCGGTCACCAAGCAAGCCTACTGGCAGATTGCCCTGGAAGGGTGAGTATCTTGCGTGAAACAGTTGCAATTCAATAGAAGAATTCAAAAGAGGCTCAACTCAAACTGAATTCAGAGGGTTACAGTGCTGGTCCCTAGGCGCAGATACTGGGCCCTTCCTGTAGGGGTTGGAGATAGAGGTGCCAAGTAGAGGGGTGAAAGGGCACAGGTGACCAGGCGCCCTTGTACATGCGGTGCACCTCTCCTACAGACAATAAGTAGCACCATGCAGCCTGCCACCCTTCATTCACTCGACGTTAACAGCCACTCACTGTGAGTGCTGAGTGATGTGGGAATGTGGAGGAGGACTGAACTCAGACTTGGCCCTCATCAGGCTCGTAGAGCAGACGAGGCGTGCACACAAACTGCTGCCACGTAAAGTGGGAGTGGTCAGTGCCCCAAGACAGGAGCCACCAAAAGACAAGCAAGCTTCTATCTGGGAACCCCTGAAGGGTTTCATGGAAGTGAGACCTTAAACCTGAGCCTTGGGATGGAGAAATTGGGGAAGTGGAACCAGATGCTCGCTTCATACCTGAAGCACTGGGCCAGACAGTGCGGGAACTCAAAGATGTGTAATTCAAGTTTCACTTCCTGCAAGGTATCAAGCATTTAGGATAAAAATAAACAGCCTGAGAGCTCACTGTCTCATGAGGGCTTTTCAGACTGCAGGGATTTACCACTTGCAGGTCCTGACATCATTTTAGGGGTACTGACCTTCATTTTTTAATGAAAGGAATACAGTGGGAAATAGAGCGCAGAGAGAGAGAAAGAGAGAGGGAGAGAGAGAAGTATGTCAAGAAGTAAGTATATTTCTTGTAGCGGATCTCAAGAAACATCTGAGAAATACTTATGTGCAGGAGAGATGTGTTAGCGGATATCGTTAACGTGCTCGGAGTCCTCCCTCTGGAGCCTGACAGGGAGCAGAACTGCCAGGAACCCCAAGGAAGGGGGACTGAAACAGCTCCTTTGCTCTCAGAATCCAGGTGGGGGACAGTATGATGTTCTGCTCCGAGGGCTGCCAGGCCATTGTGGACACAGGGACTTCCCTGATCACTGGCCCTCCCAGAAAGATCAAGCAGCTGCAAGAGGCCCTGGGGGCCGTGTACATGGATGAAGGAGTAAGTGCCTGCCTGGGCCAGGGAGGGGACAGGAGCAGGACATCCCAGCCTGCTCTTGGGAGCCTCTGAGTGGACCCCATGTTCTACTTTAGTATTCTGTGGAGTGTGCCAACCTCAGCGGGATGCAGGATGTCACCTTCATCATCAATGGCCTCCCCTACACACTCAACCCAACTGCCTACACCCTGCTGGTAAGCTCTGCTTCCTTACTGGCGTATTCGAGGGCCTTCTCCACATCCCTGTCACTTCCTCTTTCAAACAGTCGCCCACACTTAGAGTTGCATTTGCCTGAGCCCTCCTCCCACCTCGTCCTGTTCAGGTGGTGTGACATTCCCTCTGAGAGGGACACCGCGCCCGTGGTGGAAACGCCACTGGGCTAGCTCCAATTTCCAGTTCTGTCCCAAAGCAGCAGCAAACTTCGGGCAAGTGGTATAAGGAGGTTTTCACAATGTCATGTAGGATGTATCCTATGAGGATATGGAGAGTTGGAGAATTAAGTAAATGGTTCAGGATCTGAGCTGCTTAGGGAGGGGTATGGGATAAGGCTATACTTCTCATAACATGGGAATTCACATTCCTCCTCAGGCAAGAAAATATCATTTATTACAGAAAATTCTCAAGATGGGAGGGTGAGGTAGAAAGGGAATTCCTGGGCATTTTGGAAACTTACAGTCACTTCACACTACTACTGGCCTAGATTGTCAGCATTGCAATTCTTTGGCCACACATTTTCCCAAGGGTCACCCTCGAATTGGAGTGTTTGTGCCAGAACAGAGGGGTTGAGTTTAGAACAAAGGCGTTAGCGGGGCTGGGGATTTAGCTCAGCAGCAAAGCGCCTGCCTGGCAAGCGCAAGGTCGTGAGTTCGGTTCCTGGTACCGGAGAAAAACCAAAAAACCAAAAAAAAAAAGAACAAAGGCGTTAGCCTTATCCCTATGTCTTGGATTTCTCTAACTCCTGCTCAAAGCTCTTAACATAAACAGTCCCAGTAGACCCAAATGTTTGCTTTAAAATACCGCTTCATGGCAACTCCCCCAAGCTCTGGCAACAGAGGAGCTGTGGAGTCTCCTGTCTGTGCAGGATGCTGTAGCATCTGTGGATTTCTATTATCTTCCTTTCCTGAAGGCCCCTTGAGCCCTCTATAATTTCCAACCCTGCCCCAATCAGCAACCTGAAATTTCAAATGATTGCTAAAAAGACCACATCTACCTTGTAGGTTCCAACTCTTTGCCAAACTAAAAAACAAGGCCGAGGGTTAATCTTCTGGCAGAACAAGGGAACCAACTTGCCTTGTATCTGAAAGGGTTCAGCCAAATGATTCTTCCCAGAATAACAAGCAAATATAGCAGTGGATAACCACTTATGAAGTGACCTCTCTCCTGAAGCTGGACATGGTGCCCACACCCGTAATACTAGCATTCTGGGAGGCTGAGGCAGGCAGATCACAAGTGTAAGTGCAGGCTGGGCAATTTAGTGACTTAGTGAGACCCTGTTTGAAAATAAAAAATGAAAAGGGCTGAAGATGTAGCTGAGTGTGAAGGTCCTGGGTTCAATATCCAGAATCAGGAAAACACTCAGCCTGAGCTTTGCTAGGATCTAAAGAAGCCAGAATTTAGGCCCAGGTCTTTTCCTCTTCTAGCCCTGCAAAACATTTCAGTTTTCTAAATTGTGAAATGATGGTTGGGTGGAAGGTTTAGCAGATGGACAGTTCCCAGGATCCCAGAACACAGGTGATAAACTTGAGCAAACAACACTTTATTGAGGAAACTAGGGCAAGACAGCATGAAGCAGGCAGAAAAACCCACCAGTCAAAAGAGTGGAAGGCACTAGATGGGCGAGGCCTTTCGGTGCCGGCCACCGCCAACGCCCAGGACAGCCTCTAAGCGGCGCTCTTTCCTACTTCTCTGCATGCCTCTCACACCCTTCTCTCTGACCCCAGGACTTCGTGGATGGCATGCAAGTCTGCAGCACTGGCTTTCAAGGACTCGACATCCAGCCCCCAGCTGGGCCCCTCTGGATCCTGGGGGATGTCTTCATCAGACAATTTTACTCCGTCTTTGACCGTGGGAATAACCGCGTGGGGCTGGCCCCGGCAGTCCCCTGAGTAGCGTTTTGTGTCGCTGCCTGGCTACCTGACACTTCTTGGGCCTGTTGGGTTGAGGCATTCTTTACACTTGTTAAAAAGTCATTTTTTTTTTTTTTTGAATGCAGACATTCCCAGAGTTGCGACTTGAATTAGGATCAAATAGACCATGACAACACACACACATGTGTGCGCACACACACACACATTGCACATACACACACCACCTCCATCACCACCATAATAAAAGGATTCCATTGTATTTCCATATTCTTTATTGCTTTTGTTGATTTTATTTTTACTGTGAAAATCTCCAAACATACTCACAGGCAGAGGCAGCAATAAAGCCCTGGGCACCCCAATCAGATTTTGCAACCCACACACATGGGCACCCCTCCTCCTTTTCTACACCACTACCCACTTCCCTCTCTTGCTGCATGTACCTGGATTATTTTGAGGCAAATTCCAAGAATCATGTCATTTTACCCATAAACATTTCTAACATCCTTGAATAAACAGAACCCAAGCATCTCCCACTGTCTCACAAATGTGCGGCTGTGTTTACATCTGGCTAGTTTATGTCAGAGTTTAAACACAAGCTGAACCTACGTTATTTAAAACGTTCTTCAGCCTCTTTTCTTCTACAGTGCTTCTCATATTCAGAATTTTGCTGGTGTCATTTCAAGGTGGATCTTTGAGTCCCTTTTTCTCATGAGGTGGTAGTTAGATCCAGAGGTCTGAATTAGAGCCACAAACACATGAAGGGTGGTGCTAGATACTTCCTGTTGGGTTCCCTCTGGTGGCAGAGTCGACACTGATGCATGGATTTGGAGCTGTCAACCTTCACCGTCTACTACAAATCTCCCTCCAGTGTTCTACTTCATGGCTCTAGCAGTTGGTGCTGATCACTGATCACTGCTCAGGCCCACACTATCTTTCGGGGAATTACCAGGGAACAGATCTCTACTCAGGAAGGTGAATCTCACTGAAGATGAAAGGGCCTTGAGTAAGAAGGATTTATCACTTTCCCTCTAGAACAAAGCACCCCAAGAGCTAAGGGGGGCAAAATGTCCTGTCCCATCCCTGCAGGCATTCTCTCTGCTGTCCTTTCTGCACAGGGGCCACCCACAGTGTTGAATGATGCAGTCTGGACCTGCATGTTCAGAGGAGGACTGGAGGACAAAAGCGATGTGACAGTCACACGGAGTCTGCTGAATGACAGAACAGGATGGTGACTGTCTTCACAGCAACCTGCCAGCTCTGTTACAAAAATGCTTCTACAACCTGGTTCCTTGCCCCACTGCTAGGCATTGCTTTTTGCCAAGGGTATTTCAAGACCATCCAAACAGGTGCTCTGATCCTGGTCTCGCCTCCCTCCCAACACACCAGTGCTGGGCTAATTAATATTCTGGAAGCCTGGCTCCAGTCCCAGGCTTCCCTGCTTTGTCTGCACTTCCCAGGAGTGCCCTACTGTGCATCAAATGACACCAAGTTAACAGGAATTTAGGGGTGCTCCAGAGCCTGGCCTCTTTTACCCCTTCCTCCACTCCCATCCAGCCAACCCAACCAAACTGAACCCCCAGCCTTCTCACTTACACACTGCTCCCAGAAATCCTTCTACACTGCCCATCGGAGGAGCAGGCAAGTCCCTGAAGTAGCCCCTCAATGAGCCTTAGGGTAACAGAGAAGAGATGTTAATACAGTGTTCAAAGAACTAGATGAAAATCTCCACCTGTGGGATGCACTATGACAGCGATCAATGAGGACTTGGAGCCCACCTGTGCACTCTGCCTTCTGCCACCAGAGGCTCAGCACCTCCTCTGCCCACACTTGATCACTGCCCTTCAGCTGGAACCTGCCATCTCCTGCGGAGGAAGCCTGAGGTCTGCACATGCTCATTGCCCGAGCCCCCTTGGAGCTCTATTTCAAATTTCCCCTCCCTATAAGGAAGGTGAACGTGTTCCTCCTCTAGTTCCTTACAGCCCTTCACTTGTACCAAGTCTTAGTCCTACTGTTAAAACTTAGTTTCTATTTTTGAGTCCCCAGTGTCTGACCTACTTAGATTATTGAATGACTGCAGGTAGGGCGGGGTACCTCAGGCTTCCTTCGCAGGGTGGAGGTTGGCTGAGCTTGTGTCAGAGACAGGGAAGGGAAGTTGCTGACTTTTGATCCATGTGGATGGAGGAAGTGGGGGCTGGAGTCTGACGGTGGCTGGTGACTTGGCTTCCAAAAGTGTTGGGGACAGTTCTGCAAACGTCCCTAAAAGAACAAGTTTCAGAAATAGTAAAGGCCAGTGGTTCACTTCCTATACCCCAAAGCCCCAGCAGCAGCAGCCCCAGGATGACATTGCAGCTTTTCACATTCTTTCTTATACCACACCCATACAAACACACACACACACACACACACACACACATACAAGCACGTTTATTTAAAACCTGGCCTCTGGAAAAAATAGAATATAGGGGAGAAACATCTAAACCCTAACAGTGTAAGAACAAATCAGCTGCTGTAAATCAGTGGTTACCTTGAAGGTGGATTGATGTACCCTTTCCCCAAAAAATCAAAACAGAAAATTTTGGGTAAGCATGTCCTGGAAAAATTTCCAACTTCCCTGTAACCTGTCCAATATTACACTTCATGGAAATTACTGTGCCCTCCCTCCAGGCATGTTTGCCATCTGATACAAGGAAATGAGCTTCAACTTTGGTTCCCCCAAAAATTCCTATGCAGGGCCTGTAGCTGGCAGTGGGAGACACCGAGGGAGGGGTTCAAGGCCGCCCCCTTGCCCTTGTGGAATGCGTAGTCTGTGGCCAGATCACACACAGCCGCACAGAACTGGGCACAAGGAAGGGCTTTCCAACCGGGAGGACAACTAAACAAAAGGATGGACCAGCATGGAGACAGAAGCCAGCTCCAAAGGAACACGGCACAGAAGGGTGTACCAAAGTATTATCCACCTAAGGGCGCTCCTTGAGATCTGGTGACCCACAGAACTTGGGCATGTCTGAGCACACTGCACTCCCTTTCATCTGCCAAGCACAATTACCCACAGCATGATTCCAGGCAGTTCACAGAGATTCATAAATTAGCTTCTGATTAAATTACTGGAGTCTCCTGAGCACTCCAGGTGGGGCCACGCATCCTCACCTGAGGGGCCTGGGAAGTGGCAAGGACTTGCCTCACCTTGCACACACTGTGTGGTGTGGTGTGACATTTGTGTGTGTGTGTGTACATGTGTGTATACCTGTGTGTGTGTACAGTGTAGGGTGTGTAGGTTTGTAGTATGGGGTATATGTAGCATGCGTGTTGTGTGGGTATGTTGGGGGGGCATGGTGAGGTATGAAGGGTATGTGTTGTGTGAGGACGTGTGGGGTATGTGGGGTGTGTGGTCGGGTGGGGTGTTGGAGTGTGTGTGGTATGTGTTGGGTATATGTGTGTGTAAAGTACTGGGGTGAAGACAAGGTGTGAGGATCAGAACCTTTTCCCACCAGGCTGGTAGTAGGACCAAGTCTACTATTTGTGTACTGAAAACTTCAGCAAACCGAAGGGCCGCTCTCCTCTGGCTTCTGCAGCAGAACCTACAGTTTCCTGAAAGCTTTATAGCACCTTGTTACCCTGCAGGCCCCCCAGCCCGCCAGCCCCCACCTCAAGTCTTTGGTTTCTCACCCTCCTGACCAGAGTCCCTATAAACCAAATGCCCAGGGAGCGCCAGACCATCTGCTCAGAAGCCCAGCTTTCCGTTCCCCCAGCCCCTCCACCCACGCAGCTGAGATCACCCTGGCCCAGCCTCTTTTGCAACTTTCCCAAGTCTGTACACGGAGGCAGAAGAGGAAAACTCAGAGGGAAGTATCCTGGCTCACAGACTCTTGTAAGTTCCCAAAGCCTTTCTCCTCTGGCCTGGCTGGAACCATTGCTCCAACGGGAAACCTCTGGACCCAGAGAGAACGTCCACCTGCCTTGGGAGGCCAAGTGCAGCTCAGCCACAGCTGTAAGTGCCCTGGAAGTTTGTCCTCATTCTTCTGTCTGTCCAGCAGCCCTCAGAGCTCTCTGTGTGCTTAGGGGATTGGAATGGAGGCCAGATGCAGGGAAAAGGCTTAGAATCCAGCAGCCGCTGGCTTAGATCCAGCCCATAGACACCCCACCCAAGAGAAACTCCCTGGCAGGAAAGGGCTCACCCGCCTGCCTGGCAAGCTGGGGCTCTGCTCGGGAATCCACAGGGGCCACAGTGCCAGGCAGGATGCAGCTGCAGCCGCTTAGGCAGAAGAGGCTGGTGCTGCCACCTCCAGCCCGGCCTGCAGGGCCTACCAGGAGGCTGCACATGGTATCCCCATACCACGTGGACAGGGTACCTTCTGAGAAGGAGCTCCGTGAGCCAAAGCACTTCATCCAGTTAAAGTGAGTCTGAAGAGTAGGAGACGATTCTTGTTCTAAATCATAAGTATTTCTCCTGGCAAAGAGCTGCCATGCCAGACGAGCCAATGAACAGAGCTGGCCTTAGGTTCTAGTCTCAGCTTGCCACTTGTTCTTCACTCAGGAAAGCCCTAGGCCACATGGCATTTTGTCAAGTACGAGTGCTCTGTAATCTCAAGACATCATGTGTTGAAAAAAATAATTCCTTTGGACTTATTGATTAATTCTCCATCAGGTAAGTCCCATGGAGATAGCAACTGTTCTATACACTTAGTGCTAGTGCCCAGTTGGCGTACACTGCTTTTGCTGGATGGATGGGTGGATGGATGGATGGATGGATGGGTGGATGGATGTATAGGTGGATGGATGGGTGGATGGGTGGGTGGGTGGATGGATGGGTGGATGGATGGGTGGATGGGTGGATGTATAGGTGGATGGATGGGTGGATGGGTGGATGGATAGGTGGATGGATGGGTGGATGGATGGATGGATGGTGGATGGATAGGTGGATGGATGGGTGGATGGATGGGTGGACGGATGGGTGGATGGATAGGTGGATAGATGGGTGGATGGGTGGGTGGATGGACAGGTGGATGGCTATTTATAGAAAGCTCTAACTTCTCAGCATGTATCAGGCTTTTTGTGGAAATACAGAGGTGGGGGGGTCCTGGGCACAGACATTGTCTGCAGAGACAGGAGTAAATTCTACAAAGAAGTTAAAGAACAAGAACAGAATGCTGCACCTCCTAAAGCCAGTGCTGTGGGTGCCCTTCCTGGAGGGAGCAGGTCTAAACCTGCTAGGTTTGAGGCAAAATTGCCAATTTGCCTCCTGGCAGGCAACAAAGCCTTGTGTTCTCTTGATAGTCTTTTCTACCAACAAACCTCACTTCCACATGGCAAGTCCCATTATTTTTTTTTTTAGGGTGGATATATTTGCTATTTTCTAAAGTATGGGATGGGGAAGGAAGGGGCTAGCAATTGGGTAAGAAGCCAGGTAAGACCTGCTTCTGAGTTCTCACCTGCCCCTGCTCTGGTCTCTCTGCCAGCAGACCCCCCACCCAACCCAGAAGGCAGAAGACTGCACCTGGGTGGTGGCTGGGGCCAGTGGAGTGGGAAAGAAGGGAAGTGGGAAGGTGAGGGCAGAGCAGCTCCAAGAGTTCTTGGCAGACTAGACCCTGGGCCCAAGCTGTGCAGCTTGGCAACCTCTCTGGCTTGCAGCTCCACAGGGACAGAGCCACATGGTAGCTTTGGCCACTGCGGCCTTGAAAGTGCTGCCAGGCAAGAGAGGGAAAAGAGCTAGTCACATCCCCTGGGGACTGAATTCCGCTCCGAGCAGGCCTGGGTGGATGATGGCAGGTCCTGCATTCCAAGGTTGCCTGTCACTGCTCTTAACTGTGGAGAATGAGTCAGCCTGGCCTCTAAGATGATGGCTTGCTTTGAAATATCTGAGTCAACTGAATGGGCAAGAAGAGCCTTAAAAGGACAACTGGGGCCACAGCCTAGCCAAGAGCAGAGCAGAGAGGCAGGGAAAGTAACCTCAGCACTGCCTGAAGTGTGCATGTGCTCCCGGGAGCCAGTCCAGCCCTGAGCCAATCCGGCTAAACTCTTATTGCCTCAGCAAAGTGCCTACCCTTGTGGAAGCAACCCCAACAACACCTTTAGGGAAAGGGGACCCGGGTGGTGAGCAGTTGGGGGGCTTACAGTTAAACCTGAGGCAATGATCAGAAGAGTCAAGTAAAACCCACTGGTGTGTGGCAGAGGAATTGAGCAATTTTTGTGAAGTACCCTGGGGCAGGTCTGCCCCTTTCTCCATGGGTGTGGCCAGACAGCTCAAGCACAAGGTGCCACGTGAGACCTATGACCTTTGAGTCCTCCCAGGCATGCCCTGTCTCCACACTAGTGGCTCACAATAAGCCATCATGGGTGAATTACAGCCCAGAAAATGGCAGGCACTGCAAACTGGGTCTCTGGTCCCCAAGCCCCTCTTCACATCCCAGTTGTTCAACATTTAAGTAGATCTTTCCCATCCTAGGGAGCCTGGTGTGCTATAAAATACACTGCTTGCTGAGGAAGTCACAACCATGAGTGTCATCCTCTCTACCTGTGAGGAGCTATCACCAAATAGCTCACCTAACATCCGTCATAACTGGCAGGAGAGCTCTGATCCCAAAACTCATGGTCACTCAGAAGGACCGGTTTCTCTGTCCCGGCCCAGCCAAGTGACTCATCACAGCAGGAAGTCACACTCGGATGACTTCGGGCTGCCACAAGGCCACACCCTCTTGTAAAAGAGAGGCTGTCTCTCTGGTATTTTTAATTACAGAAATAATTTAGGCTTGTAGAACAAACTTTAAAGACAGACATATATAAAATAACTAAGATAGCTCTTAGCCCCTAATTTGCCTTTCCACAACTCTCTCGTTAATCCTATCATGTGCATCTACCCATCACTTTCTGTGTATTCACAAGATAAACATATGTGTAATGTGAAACAGTCACACACATAGGGTTGTTTGTTTTTGTATGACTGGGATCACATTGTACAAATTATTCGGTAGGTTTTTTTTTTAAATTAAATTAGTATGTGTTTTTCCATTTTACTACTTTGTCTTTTTAAAACTGCCTATTATTCTAGAGTATATTCATAGATTAGAAATTATATAGAATCTTACTGATGGATGTTTAGGTCCAACAAATAGGTGTTCTCATGAGGCCCCAGGGAACAAGGTGTGTGATCCTCATTCTAGTTTTGCAGGCAGACAGGCAAACCCAGTCAAATCACAGTCTGTTGCTGGCCACGGTGGTACACACTTGTAATATCAGCTACGCAGGAGGCTGTGCAAGGAGGATTGCAAGTTCAAGTCCTGCTTGGGCAACAAAGTACAAATCCTCTGAAGGAAGGAAGGAAGGAAGGAAGGAAGGAAGGAAGGAAGGAAGGAAGGAAGGAAAGAAAAATAAAGAAAGAAGAAAGAAAGAAAGAAAGAAAGAAAGAAAGAAAGAAAGAAAGAAAGAAAGAAAAAGAAAAAAAGAAAAAGCGTAGTTGCTGGCACCAGACCTGCTTTCAAATCCCAGCTCCAACCCATGCTTTCCCACTGCAGGCTTTACGTCTTTAGAGATAAACTGCTTAACTTCTTTGGTGATAAAAAGACATAATAGTAGCATCGATTCCATAGGCCATTCTTGCGCCTAATGAAGTAGCGAACATTTTGAGCCCTTAATCTATGCCAGCAAATGCATCATAGCACATTATGTGTTAAATGCATTGTAATAAAAGTGTTGATGCATTTAACTCTCACAGGAATGTGCACATTGCTTATTTGCATACTTGCACAGCTCCCAGCACAGTGTCTGGAAGACTGGTGCCAGCGGACAGCATGAGGCCCGCTCTGGCCCTGAGCACTGCAGAGTCACTGCGCGTAAATGCAGCCTCCTCGGCTCAGCATGCCAAGTCAGCCTGGCGGGTCTTCCCACACAGCTCCTGTCTGGCGACCCCAGTTCCTTCAGCACCCGCTGTATGTTGTCGCTCTGGCTGCCTTTCTTTAGCACCTCCAGCTCTCCTAGGGCTTTGTGAATTTCACCAAACTTAAGGCCAGTGCCCTAGATTCCGTGGGTTCACGCTCAGGAAGCACAGACAGAGAAGTCTTGTCAGGCTCACCCGTCTGCCACTGCGTGGCCGGTGATGCATTATGAGTGACTCACTTCTCTGAGCTTGCTTGTGTGTGCTCAGCCAATGCTAGTTTTTTCCCCACTTCCTGCCCTCCTTTTGCTCCCTTTCTAAGGTATTGTATTGGCCTCTCAAGCTAAGTTAGCATATTTACCCACGCCTTTAGGAAACAGCTCCCCACGGCTCCCAGTGCCCTCCCACATAGGGCCCAGCTAGGAGTTTCTGAGCCAAGCGTCCCTCGGCTGACTTCCGGGGAGAGGGGAGGCAGTGACACCTTTGCAAAATGCCAGCTGGGTTAACACCTTGAATTCCTTCCTCCATGTGTCTGGAAGATGGGAAAGTATGCTGAGAGAATAAATGAATCAGTGCAGGGTGATTACAGCCCATCTTAGTCCTACTTCCACTCCAGGTTCCTGCCTCCTCACCTTCCCTGAACCAGTCACTGTCTGTTCCCGGGTGCCAGGGTCTGCTTATGTCACTCCCTCCTGAGGGAGCATCACCTCCTGCCTCATTTCTTCAGAGCACAGTTCTATTGAATTCGGCCATGTTTTCTCTGTGCTCCTGGGCACCCTACACTTCCTCTGGGGTCGCTTAGCCCTGGTCCATGCCTCCTGACAACTCCCCACTGTGGGCTCCTACTTCCCTCATCTCGGGCTGTGACGGTGTCTAGCACAGGGCTTTGTGCACAGTTCGTATCACAGGAGAAGGGTAAGGATGTGAGGTCGTGCGAGTGTTCATTAGTTGGATTTAGCAATTTCCCAATGTATGTGACCTGTATTTCAAAAGAACATGTTGAGGACTTCGGGGCAGGGAGCGGGTGTGCAGCTCAGTGGTCAGCGTTTGCCCAGCATTTACAAGTCCTAGATTCCATCCCCAACATCACAAAGAAAGAGAAAGAAGGCAAAGCAAATTCAGCTTAATATCACTTTATACTGAAATAATTGGGGTGATTTTCTACATACAGTTTAGAATCTTTGGTTTTTCATTTATATCCCAATGCATGAGCCACAGGAACTCATGTTACTATAAAATAGTTATGGACTCCACTTTAATGAGTGCTTAAGTTCATGTGCTCAGGGATTTCACCTCTTCTTTATTGTTGGAGATTCACAAACAATACTGAGAAGAACATTCTGGAACAAGAATCTGCATTTCTGGTTATTTCCTCCGGACAAATTCCTAGAAGTGGAGGTCAGGAACATTTTTAAGGCTCTGGACACTTGTTGCCAAGTAGCTTTCCAGCAACATATACCAATTCCAGCACTGCCAGCTGCAGCAGAAAAGAGCCTTTGACTCCTCCACTGCAGCCACACCTCGCGCTGGGGGAGGGCTCTCGCCTCTACGAGCTCTGGGCAGTCCTAACAATGGGCCCTTGTCCTGCCCACCCCAGCTCCTCTCCCGCACCGCCCTTCACCCCTGGCTCCAGGCTTGACTGTCTGCGAGGCCTCTGTTCAGTCTTGTCCCGCCTTCTTAGCAAGTGCTGCCTTCAAGCAGTGCTGGGAGAGTGCTGAGGGTGAGTGATTTTTTTGTCCTGTAGGGATCAAACCCTTGGGAAAGCCCCCAGGCAAGTGAGGGGAGGGCCAGTAAGAGTTGCTGACTTTTGTTCCTCCTTTGGAGACCTGCCCCACCTGGTCCCAGGTCCAGGGCAGAGATCTGCACATTGAGAAGGACCAGCCCCAGTGACAGTGGCCACAGGGACACTGGCCAGCATTGAGATGACCTCTGTTTCCCCACAGGTTCTGAGCCCCCTCATGAATCCCCAGAAGAAGGTGGACTTGAAACTCATCATCGTTGGAGCACTTGGGTAAGCCAAGCTCAGCTCAGGGCGTGGGGTCAGGAAACAACAGCCCCTGAGTCTGGGAAAGGAGGCCACCTCCCCTAGGTCCCTTTTGAATTCTGGGTGGCAGCAGAAGTACATCCACCTCCAGAAGGGACCTCAGTTTCGAGAAAGAGACCAGCGGTGAATTGATGGTTTGGGCCCCGCTCAGCAGCACAGAGCTGTGTATGGTATGTGTGCTGGCCGGCAAGTCTGTGCCTGTCCGCTGCCTGCCACACCCAGGAAACCTGCTGTGGGATTTTTCAGCTCTATTGACTTCTACTTCTAGAAACTATTCCTTAGTCCCTTGTTCCCCTTCATATGGCCCCTGGTTCCACAGATAACATCTGGATCCAGAATCTCAGGAAAGGACATCCCTGTTAGGGCCTGGTAAGGGTCTGAGAATAGTGTGGCTGTACACATGTGTGTTTGTAGATGTGTTTTCACATGTATCTTTGGTTTTGCCTCAGTGTGGGAAAGACCTCCCTCCTCCACCAATATGTGCACAAGACGTTTTACGAGGAATATCAGACCACGCTGGGGGCCAGCATCCTCTCTAAGGTCATCATCCTGGACGACACCACTTTGAAGCTGCAGGTGAGCCATCCTCTCCCACTCCCATGTAAGCACCTGAAATCACCCACATTCCCTGCACAACCACCTACACAGCAAAGTGCTGCAGGAATGAGGGCGGTCCAAGCAGAGGCGGGCAAACTTCAACTCAGACTCTAGTCTCTTCCCTGAGACACAGTCACACCCATTTGTTTAGCTATTGTGTTTTGCACTACAATGGCAGAGGAAACGGATGGAACAGACAGTACAGCCTGCAAAGCCCATAGTATTTACTGTCTGGGTCTTTGCAGGAAAAAGTGCTGATATCTGATGTGTCTGATTCATTGTGGAGCTAGGAGACATCATGTTCCCCAAAAAACTTGGTGGTAGCTTTGGCCAAGTTACTGTCAAGATCCAAGTCTCCAAATCTGTCAGATGAGAATAGCAGTCCCTGCCCTGGTGAAGACAAAACGCAAACTCAGGTGTGAAAGTGCTCACTGGCCGTTAAAGGACACTGTGTGGGTGGCATGGTGGACCCAGGTGCAGGGTCAGGCTTGGTGTATGAAGAACCACACACACCTGTAACCTAGCTTCCTGCTCCCCACCCTAAAAGGGAAGTTTTGGCCTCCTCTAGCCTGGCGGACCCTCCCCCAGCCCAACATCACAGCCCCACCGGTGGCTGCTTTTCCCCTCCAGATCTGGGACACAGGCGGTCAGGAGCGGTTCCGTTCCATGGTGTCCACCTTCTACAAGGGCTCTGATGGCTGCATCCTGGCTTTTGATGTCACTGATCTGGAATCCTTCGAAGCCCTGGATGTCTGGCGGGGCGATGTTCTAGCCAAGATCATCCCCATGGAGCAGTCCTACCCCATGGTGGTGCTGGGCAACAAAATCGATCTGGAAGACAGGAAGGTATTGTCTGCCCATTTGTTCATTCACTTGTTCATTCATTCAACAAATGTCATGAGCACCCACTGTTATCAGGCACTGTGTTAGGTCCCACACATATGGAGCTGAATCAGTCACAACCCTTACCTCAAGAATTCACAGACTAGTAGTGGATATAGACACTTTGAAAGACAGCTATGTTACAATAAGTAAATGCAGCCTCCACCTTGGAGATATGGGGCCATAGTAAAGAGGCACATATTCAAGTCCAGAATACAGGACAAGCCTCCTGCAAGAGGTGGGTTCTGAGCTGAAGAACAGCAGGATGTGAGCTGAGAACTGAGCAGTTCTGCCTAGAGACAGGGCATGGAGAAGTTGAGGCTTCAAAGAGGATCTCAGGGGATTTGAATTTGAACAGCATTTCTGCCTGTGGTCAGGTAGGAGGTCTACAGTTACAAATGCCTGGATCCATAAGTTCTCTGGGAAAGTAATAATTTGTCTTTTCAGCCTCAGCATAGTCCAGGTCATCAGGTTAACCTCTGCACAGCTGGTCTCCTTCAGGACAACAGTGGCCAGTGTGATTAATATGGACCAGCACCCAGCCACTGAGAGGAGAGCCCTTTCAATCCTTGCCTGTCAATGAGAAAGGGATAGATGCAGCCTGAATTTGCAAAAGATACAAGGCCAAATGAAGCCAAAAGTGGAACCCAAAAGAGCTGTTTTCTTAGCCTTTCAAATACAGAAAGGCATGGGGAACTGAATCATTGTGTTTGAGTTCAGTTTTCACAATGGTTCAGAGAAAAGTCGTGGGAGAACTGAGCATCACCGGGCAGGATGAAGTATATGGATGAGCAGGAGGAGCGAGGGAGGGTGCTTCCAGCTACACCACCATTGACAGAGGGGGGCCCCTGCTCCTAGGGAAAGGCCTGCCTGTTAGGTTTGCACTGAAGGGTCTGGGGAACAACTGCAGGGGCTGGACAGGACCCACAGGCTGTGGGTTACTTAAGAACAAAACTTGGAAGGAGAAGTCTAGGCTGGAAACAGCTAGAAATCTTCACCTTGGTGGTCAGCTCAGGTTGGAAACACAGTGTCAATTCTCCAATTACAAATACCCAGCCTTGGGTAAAAACCCAGGTCCTACGTTCATTCAAAGGCAAAGTGTCCCCTCTCGTTTCCCCACTCTTGCAGCTAACCTCACACATCCGCACTCCTCGTCCCTTCACTGAGGCCCTAATTCTAGTGTCAGATCCGTCTGCAGCCAAGCAGGAAGAAGAAGTGGTGGGGAAACTGGGACAATGCTGACCCAACTGCTATTGTCATAGACAGGTCTGTGCTCTCTGGGCCTGGCAGGGCGTGGCAAGCTTTCTTCTGTATGTCGCCCCTTTGGGTCCGTAAGAAGCCTTCACCAGGGACACGACACTGGACCTCTCATGACAAGGATCCTGCCTTCTCCCCTTCTCCCTCCTCAATTCCAAGCTTTTCAGCCACCCCACTGGGGTCCCTGCTCCAGGCCAGCCATCCCTCTGTTGGACCCTAGCTCCTTCCCAAGGTGCTGTCCTGCTTTCTGGGTCCCCTGCAGAAACTCTCTTCTCTCTCTTCCCATTGTCTCTCTCAGACAATGTCTTAGGTGAACGTAAGGCCCCAGACACACATGTCCACTAAGCTCCAGGAGTTGTGTTTCAATGGTCCTCCTCAAAGCCACCATGACTAGAGGTGAGACTCTCCCTGCTGCTCCTCTCAGAAGAGGCAAAGATAGTTGTACCCACAACATGACTTTCTCCTCCCAAGGAATCCATGCTAATCAGCCTTTTCAACCTCCTTTATCTCCATGCTCATCTACAAGCCTCCTCTAAGAGCTCCTTGGTCATGCACCTTTGGAAATGAGCATGGTCCCAGGATGTCTGTCCCTCAACCCACTCTATGTCTGGCATCTATCAGACTGTAGTGCTTCCACCCAAACATCCACTTTAACGTCTTGCTTCATATGTCTGTGGGTTGGAGGGTGGGCAGTTGAGAGGAGTTCAAGACTGAGTCTGACTATTCTTGGTGAAATGAGAAGCACTGCTTTCTGGTGAGAGGAAGAAGAGCAGGTAGAAGGATCATGAGTCATGGTGAAGCTTGGTGGGGTCACTTACTCTGGGGAGAAATAGGAGGAAGAGCTGATCAAAGACAAGGACAAGAATTGACGAGTAGCGCAAAGGGCCCAACTGGAGGGGGAGACATGAATGTGGAGTGCGTGGTGTGTGCATCTTTCACAGCCTTGTGTGGGGCAAATGCCAGGAACAAGGGACTAGGGACTGAGGGTTGTCCCAGCCAGAAGAGCTGAAGGATAAGGCCAGGAGGGCTCCGAGAAGCTACAAAGGAAAGGAGAGGGCTGAGGGTGGGGGCTGGGTGTAGTGGGAGAGCGGGGCAGGAGCAAGGTCATGCTTGAGTTGAAAAGTGAGAAGACTGATCTCAGAGCAGGAGGCCAGGTTTAGTGTTTACAGGTTTAGTGTTCAGAGGCAGAGGGCAAGGACTGATGTTTGGGTTCCTACTCTGAGGCACCATGAGCGGTGCCAGCTGAAGGGAAGAGGAAGCCACACCAGCTCACAAGCCTTTTATGGACAAGGACATTCCCGATAGGGTGAAGACAAGCGATGACTCACAGGAGCAGAGGGGTCCCCTGCAAGCTTCTGGCTGAGCTTTGGTACAGAGAGGGGAAGAACAAAGGACTGAAAGAAGCGAGGCACAGGTGAGCCAGTCCCCTCGTTGGCTTCTGGAGTGAGGAGGGTGTGGAAATAGTCCCAGTGGAGAGGGCAAAGTATGGAACAGAGGCCCCAGCAAAAGCCAGGGTTCACCCAAGATGGGGTAGCGGAAGGAGGGCTCCAGAGAGGGGAGGAGGAGACCTTCTGTGTCAACAAGTGAGGAAGAACTTATTGATAATGAAATGAGGACAGGGAAGTGGGGAGGAGGAAGTGGGAGAAGGAGAGCACAGGGACTTTAACTCAGAGACCAAGCAAAGCAAAGTGAGGGCAGGCTAAGCACCCTGGGCTCAAATGGCTTTACTGTGGCACATACCTAGCAAAGGGTCTGCTGCCCATGACTGGCTGGTGGCAAGGAAATGGAGAAGGAGAGGCAGATGGGGACAGGGAGCACTACCCACTTGCACAGAGCCAAGTGGGTGAGCTCCAAGGCTGTGGAAGGTGCCTTCTCTTTGAGCCTGTCTGTGTTAGCTTTCCGTCACTGTGACAAAAACTCCTGAGATAGTCAACTTACAAGGAAGCAACGTTTCCCTTGACTTATGGTTTCAGCCCCTGGTCAGTGGGTCTCACTGCTTTTGGGCCTGAGAGCAGCAAGGTAGAATATCACAGTGCACAACCTTAAGTGAAATAAATGGGACACACAAGTTTAAATACAGCATCGCTTTGTTTCTCAGGTATGAGAAACCCAGAGGGTAAATAAGGAGCATAATGCAGGAGAGATACTGGGAAGTAGGAAGAACATGTTTGAATGGGAAGAGGAACAAGGGAGGGGGAAGGGGGAAGGAAAGGAAGGGAAAAGGAAAAAAGAGAATGGAAGGAAAAACTGTTAGCAAAGCTTTTGTAAAGGGGGAGGAAAAGAGTTGAAAGGAGAGGAGGGGAATGGGAAAAAAAGAATTATGATATCTTAAGTACAGGTACAAATTCTCTAAAATGAATATAATCATTATGTATGACAAAAGATGTACTAATATTTAAAAATAATATTTAAAATTTTAATAAAAAAGAACATCATAGCAGGAGTACATGGAGGAGGAGGCCATTCACCTTGTTGCAGCAGGAAGCAAAGGAAAAGAAGAGGATGCGGGGTCCTGATAGCCTCTTTAGGGCACAACTTCCTTCTGCTGGGTTCTACACCTTAAAGGTTTCCCCACCTCCCAATAGCCTAGCAGGCTTTAACACTTGGGGACACTTCATACTGTAGCACCTCCAGCTGAGATGAACTCACACCAGTACTCTGCTGCTTGCTCCCCGTATGTCCTGGGGCCACACCAGTTTGTCCCTCACTGGTATAGAAACCCATATGTGAATCTCCTGAGGTTATTTGAGGATTAAAGGAAATTATGTCATTGTTATATGTCTTCTTATTATCTGTACGGGACTAGGCTGGAAAACATGGCAGCTTTTCCTACTTCCTTAGAAGAAAATAGATATTTAAAAATATATTGGTAGGTTTGAGAAGATGAGAACATTCTGGGTTTGGGTAGCAGTGATGGTTGTACAACAGTAGGAATAAACTTAATGACCCTGAATTATATGCTTTAAAATATAAATATTTAAATTATATGCTATGAAATTATGTTATGTGTGTCTTACCACAATACACACACACACACACACACAATGATTTTAAAGGAACTGTTGACTTAACCTTTTTTCAAAATATCCATACTACCACTACAGAAGGTAATAGTGGCAAAAATACAGTTTATTAGGAAGAGTAGCTCTGCTAACCCCCTTGCTATAGGAATTTATTCACAAGATGTGACTTCTTTGCTGTATGCTTAGGGAGGTAATTTTTAACCCCCAGTTCATAGAACTGGATCATGTTTTCTAAAAATATTCTTTTATATTCTTAGTAAATGGCTTACAAATTAGTATTAAATGTGCTAATTTTAACAAAAATATAATCAATCGTGAAAGGCATGTGAGGTGGAAAACATCATAAATAAAATGATTCAAACTGGACTAATTTGTCAACTATTTGGTCTCCAATGAATGAGCAAAACTACAGCAAAAAAGTAAAATGTAATAGCCTACTGTCCCCCACAAGGAAAATTAACAGAAGTAACACTTCTAAAATGTTTGTGTATCCCACATAGCCAAGTACCACACCTTGAGTTCGTTTCCAGAGTCTGAACCTAAAAGCATGTTTATACCTCATAAGATGATCTTAAAAATCATGAAACTCCAGCCAGAATCAGTAGAGAAACAGGGAAATGTTCTCTGGGTATCCTTCTTCCCAGGCCACCAGTCCCTGGCTGGGTGAGCACTAGGGAAGGAAAA